TAAATGTATCAAGATCCCACTCTCTGGTGTGCAAGCTAGGAGGAGCGATCCCCCTTGTACCCAGCGTGTGGTGCAGCGCTGAAATAAAAACGTATCTGCTCTTATAACCTTATGTGGGTTAGAGAGTTTGATTCCACAAATCACTCAGGTTGATGGTCATGGCTACAGTAAAACATCTAGAAAGCATCACATTGATGTTTTGCACCTTGAGCATTCATCATTAAGTTAAAATCTGGATATACTTCTCCATGTCAGATTATTTTACATACACCCCCAAAAACCCCTACATTCCAACATTCAAATGTTATTTTGGTTTTACTTTTTTTTTTTTTTTTTTTTTATAGGGTATTTTCATCGAAGGGTGTTCTGAGTAACTGTGGTTGGAGGTGCTGAACTGAACATTTGCCTTGTGTTAGGACAGGTCAGAAGCACGCTGTCAATCAGTATCACACTTCAGTTCATAATGTTTTTTCTTTGACAGGGAAAAAAAAATGCTTCCATTTGTGCTATTGTTATCGCTACGGCAACGTAACCTGTGACAGAAAACTAGCAATGCAAAGAGACCCAACAAGTGTTAATTCCAGTTTTATCTCCTATGATCTGCAAGCTATTTAAGATACTGACAAGGAGATACAGGAAAAGTCAAGAACCTCACCCCAAAAGACTATGCTACTCTACCTACATGCCTATTCTAATCAGATCTTTTCAGAATGACTGTGCTGAGTTGATACCTTATACTGACTGAACTATGTCCTAAAATGAAATAAATGGTGCAAGATCATATTGCAAGTGTAACACAGTACTTCATCTCTGTCAGCAATTTGACACATCATCCCCCTCCCTCATCCCCCCAAAAAAAGAAAGACACAAGCATTCCAATCAAGCTTCTTTCTCAGCATCTCAGCAGGGCTCAGCCAATTCTCCCCTGCCATCCTCTAAGCCTTGCCAGGTTTTCAATTCCACTCTGATTTTAGGTTTCATTTTGTTGTAAAAAGCTTTCAAAGAGAAGATACTTACCCATGCATGAAATAAGGATTGTGCATTGCTTTTTCCTCTCTCTTTTTTCTTTTTTTTTTCTTTCTTTTCTTTTTTTTTTTTTTTTTTTTTTTTTTTTTTTTTTTGGGAGATGAGGGGGGAGTAACAAAACCCTAAACGGAGGAGAGACTAAGCAGCAGAGACAGAGGGAGGAGAAGAGCCTGGTGAAGAAGCAGGGCAAGCGTCAGCCATGTTGTATGTGTTGGTCCAGTATTTACAAACCTGCAGCTGCAGCAGCAATTAGTCTGGGAGAGAGAGGAAAGAAGGGAGGAGGAAAGAAAGGAGAGGAGGGAGGAGAAAGCAGCGGCAGACAAAGGAACCCGAGTGGAGCGCGCGTATATACACGCACACTCTGGGTATCCCAGGTACCGGTACGTGCATTCTCAGTTCAGCCAGCTCAGTGCGTTAACACAGCGGCGACTCCCCAGCTCCAGCTGCTGCAAAGCGGCCGATCCCCGCCACCACTCTCACACCCCCTTTGTGACGGGAGGGGGCAGGGCGGAGGTATGTCTCCCTACGCCAACGTGCGCTACCGACAGAGAGGCGGGGAGACCCTAGAAGGGCCCCAGCCCACAATACAATAACTCGGTAGAAAGAAAGGGGGGTGCGTGCAGCTGCGATCCCTCCCCTCCAGCAAGGGGAGGGGAAATGGATACTGAGAGGGACTGTAATAGAGGAAGAAAGCAGTCCCCAAAGGCTGGGGGAGGGGGGGTTCTAAGGAGCCGGGGTGCTGCATGGGAAGGGAAAGAGAGATTGGCAACATGAGCCCAAACGCCCCACGGCCCCACTCTCGCCCGCTTCCTGTGGTTTCCGGGCAGGCCGCTGAGACAAGCGGCAAAGGAAGGGTAACAGAGCCAAAACACTGCAAGTATATAAATAACATCAGTCTCGGGGGGGGGGGAGAGCTAGGAGCGGTGGTTCCAGCTCATCTTACAGCAACTCCCTCTGCTTCTGCCCAGTACTAGGCTAGGCTAAACTAATCTAGTACAGGCCACGCCAGACCAGTGCAACAAGCCATGCATTCTCCCCAAACCCACATTCACAACTCACTTACCTGCTGGGGGAATGGGTGCTTAGGACTGCCACACAAGCGGTCCAAGATTGCCAGCACTGCAACCTCAGCAGTCCTCCTGCCTCACAAGGCCACTCAGGTTCTCTGTGGCAGTAGTGGAAATGGCTTCTCCCCTTGTCTCATTTGTCCCCCTCCACCGTCACCGCTGCTGCCTCCTGTTCGCCTTTGCCACATTTGGATCCCCTCTCCCTATACGAACTCCGCCACCAGAATAGAGGCCTCCTCACCTTCCTGCCAAATAGAGAGCTAGCTGCATTGAGCCGTTCAAAACACAGGGCCGGACACCGCCCTCCTCCTCTCCCTCTCTGTCAACACGCAGGCGCACTGTGAATTCCGAACTGCGACAAGAACACCAGCAATCTTCCACCCAGTCCACTGCTACTCACCAGTGAACAAGCACCATCCTTCTCCTCTTCTATTGCTGTCTCCCAGTACTCTGCTGGCAGTTATAGCGGAGGGTGGTGTGGGCTGGTCTGCAGCTAGTCGGCAAATGTTTGCTGGTTTACAAGATGTAGGCCACCAGGTCCTGTGACAATGAGCACCCGCCTTTTCCCTCCCCTCCTGCTGTAGGCCTAGCATTGCTTCACTAGGTGGCCACAGTGCTTTGTAGCAGCAGTACCACTCACCAGTTACAACAGTAGGCAGCAGCACTTCTCTAAACAGGCCTTGGGAGTCAATGTCTGTCTAATGTCTTCTCACCATCAGAAAAGCCAGCTATGTATATCCTGCTGGAAATGAAAATAAAGATCTAGATAAAATGGTAAAAATAAGATGCACTTACACCAAATCATAGTCCATCACATTTTGTTACATCATTCACAGATGTAAATTCAAGAGCTTTGTCAATAGCTTTAGATTGACAAAGAACAAAATGGAAAACATCAGTAAGATTATGTTCTCAATCAAATCAAATAATTGATTTAAAAATGAAAACGAGTGAACAGCTGAGCCACAGTTTGCCTTAATAAATCAAATTATTTATTTCAAAGTAGACCTTAGCAGGTATGTCGTGATACATGCATTTTCTGTTACATCATCTTAAGACAAACTGGTAAATACACAATTATTTATTTGGCTTCCTGCCCTTTAAGAGTCAAGAAGAGTTTGAGTGAAAACTATCATATTGTGAAACCAACATGCAACTTAACCTAAGTAATAATATACTAAAAAACAACCAACCAAAAAGATAATTTTCAAGTGCTGTACATAGCCTACTTAGTCTTTTTGAATGCTTTGAAGTACTACCTAGTTTGGTTAGGAACAGAATGACTGAACTCTTCCAGAAGCTTTAAATGCTATTGAGTAGTTAGCTTTGGGTAAAAACCAGATTCTCTCTGTTCCCAGAAATGTTTGCTTTTTTGATATCCTCCCAGTCTAAACAGAATCAGCTTTAACTACTGACATATATATATATGTCATAGTCTTCTTTATTTGATAATAGAATTAAGAACCCTCAGACTCACCTAATTCAGTACCTAATTCAGCAAAATTCAAAACCTCAGTTTTATTGGGCTGAATAAATTCAATCCAGTAAAAAGACTTTCAAAAAGCAACAACTAGTACTAAAAAGATGGTGGATTTACTGTAAAAATATATAACATGTAGGTCAAAATTGTCACCCTCAAGATTTGGTCTATATAGGAAAGTTTCAGTGCCTTTTTTTTTTCAAAGTTCAGTGCCGATCCATGACTTCATTTTTTTCTTTATATTAACAAAATTCTTCACCTTTACCAGAGTAGTTACATCTATTTCATATATAAATGATCCATACTATGTGCCAAGAAATGATAAAAATCATTGATATCAATCAGGCACTTCTTTATAACAGATAAGACTTAATGGCATGTAAGATGAAACCATTCTTCAGCAGATCTTTGGTCACAGCAAGAGAGACTACCAAATGAATCATACTACTATTGCAGAAATTTAAATTCTTCTCCTCCCACTCTGTGTCTACCACTTGAGAGAAGGCAAGTCTCCAGGGTGGAATGTGCTAGATAAACTGTTCCATGAGAGTTCCCTAAGCAACGTGACCTGTGACCTTATCTCTTAGCAAAGACCAGGGGAGCCTGGTATGCTGATGTTTTAGGGTACGTTTGGACCTGAGAGACAGGATGTCTCAGGAGCAGAAGCAAGCTAACTGTGCACTCAAAGCATCACAGAGAGTTATGAGTTTTTGTCAACATACACACACACACACAGGCATCCATTTTTAGATAAATCCCCATAAGCGGGAAGCAGAAACTCCCTAAGCAAGTGCACTATTACTTACCAACCCTTGAGAGACGGCAAATTGCCGAAAAGGAGAGAGGAGGAATGTGCCGGTAGTGGATTCGATAGGTAGTGTCAGCAGGGCACCCCCTGCTCCAAAGTGCACTTTTCCTCTCTCTCCCACCACAGCTTCTCTCCTGCTTTTATTCTCCCCAGAGTCTGCAGGATTTTTTCCACTTGCACACTGTACTCGCATGGTCAACGCGTGATACAGAGCCTAAGAGCAATACCTGCTTGCAAAACAACTCTTTTCAAAAACAAGATAAACTACCAAGGTCATCTCTCTACAAAACAAGATATTTGCAGCTACAGCCACAAATATCTGTTCCCTTAGAATGGTCAGAATACTTCATTCAATCCCAGTATCATTCTTCAGACAAAGGCCTTTAGGTCCACGACACATGCCACCCCATGATCCTGGGTTGAAACACATTGATACTGTACTACTTTTGCCGCAAGTCCATGAAAAGCACTTAGCATAGTTTGTTGTACAAGTTATAAAAAGGATGGAATATAGAATAGCGAGGAATCATAGGCCCAAGATAGAACCTATCTGTATCATTTTTATCAGCAGTCCCCATCCCCAGTCCCAATCTGAAAAAGGATTCCATCTCAAGGACTCCCACAGCTGGGCAGCAAGGTCTTGTAACTCATTCAGATGGCTATGGATGGATTTGGAATGGTCCAACACCAGTCAGCATATAGTGTCCCCAGGATCTGGAGTTCCTGAAGAGCCAGAACTGGAGTCTCCTCGATGTATGGCAGGAATGCATTGTAATTGTCCTTGCTGGTCAGGTTGGACAAGTCTGGGAAGTTCCAGAGTGCACAAGTGATGTTCCCCATCAGTGGAGTCAGGGTTACCCAAACACTGCTTCTGGGAGTGTAACACTTGTAGCAGAGAAGAACAGAAAAAAACCACAACTATGCACTCAAAGCAGCACAGAGAGTTATGAGTTTTTGTCAACATACAACATACACACACACACACAGGCATCCATTTTTAGATAACCTCCGTAAGTGGGAAGCAGAAACTCCCTAAGCAAATGCACTATTACTTACCGACCCTTGAGAGACAGCAAATTACCGAAAAGGAGAGAGGAGGAATGTGTCGGTGGTGGATTTGATAGGTGGTGTCAGCAGGGCGTCCCCTGCTTCAAGGTTAACATGGGGTTATCAAGAACTATCTGTGTCCATGTGGGGGGGCAGCAGGCCCACAGGTCCACCAGAGGGGGAGGGTGTCGATGGTTTACAGGCCGGTTCGGCCCGGTTCTTTGACGAATGAGGCAGGGGATGCATGGATCCATGCCCTAGGAAAGTGGAAAGGGAAAGGGGGAAGGGTAGGGAGATGGGAGCTGGGCCTAAAAACAGAACAGTGGCAACGATCTGAGGAGAAAAGTTAATTTACTAAATATGATATCAGAAAGCAAGATAACAGTGTAATACAAAATATAATTGGAACTGAGGCTAATAAATCAAAATGACTGAGTGTTCAAAACCAAAGGCCTTACTCTGAACTGAAGGCAAAACGGCTGGGGAGCACACCCACACACTGCTAGACAGTGAGAGAGAGACTTGCCAGGACCTTCATCTTTCCTTCTGAATGCAAACTCCTCTAGGGTATGTAGTTCTTCTCTTCTGAGAGCCAGGTATTTGGAAAGTCGTCAGTCCACAGAACTGGAGTATTAACTCTTTAATTCCCCGAGCTTTACATGATGTTATGATGTGGAATACCGATAAGAAAAATTGCTTAAATGTTCTGCCACCCATTGCTTTCAAGATAGTTTCTAACAACCCACTGTATCATTCAATTTTACCAGAAGCTGGTGCATGATAGAGGATATGATAAATCCACTCAATGCCATGAACTTGGTCCCAAGTATTTACAAGAGAATTTTTGAAATGAGTCCCATTATCTGATTCAATCCTTTCTGGAGTGCCAAGTCACCACAGGACTTGTTTCTCAAGACCTAATGTGGTGTTTCAGGCAGTAAGATATGTTTCAAGCCACCCAGTGGTTGCCTCCACCATGGTAAGCACATAACGCTTACCATTGCAGGTTCATGGCAAGATGATATAATCAACCTTCCACACCTCCCCACTTATTTATACTTTTGCCATCGTCCATCCCCCCAGAGAGGTTTCATCCTCTTGGCTTGTTTAATTGTGGCGCATGTGTCACAGTCATGAATAACTTGTGCAATAGCATCCATAGTTAAGTCCACCCCTCGGTCTCTAGCCCACTTATATGGTGCATCTCTTCCTTGATGGCCTGAAGTCTCATGGGCCCACCAAGGTAGAAATAATTCACTCTTTTGTTGTCCATTCAAGTCTATCTGAGCCACCTCAATTTTGGCAGCTCGGTCTACCTGATGGTTATTTTGCTGTTATTCAGTAGCCTGACCCTTGGGCACATGAGCATCTACATGGCGCACCTTTACGACCATATTCTTTATTCGGGCAGCAATATCTTTCCACAGTTCAGCAGCCCAAATAGGTTTACCCCTTCTTTGCTAGTTGTTCTGTTCCCACTACTGTAACCACCCCCATAAGGCATTTGCCACCATCCATGAGTCAGTGTAAAGATAAAGCATTGGCCACCTCTCCCATTCAGCAACACCTAAGTCCAGCTAAACAGCCTTTACCTCTGCAAATTGGCTTGATTCTCCTTTCCCTTCAGTGGCCTCTGCAACTTGTCATGTGGGGCTCCACACAGCAGCTTTCCATCTGCGATGCTTCCCCACAATACGACACGATCCATCAGTGAACAGGGAATATGTCTTTTCATTTTCTGGTTCTTCATGGTATAGTGGGGCTTCTTTAGCATGCGATACATCTTCTCCTGGTGATGTTCCAAACTTTTTGCCATCAGGCCAGTCCTAGGAACTGAATCTCATGGGCAGGTCCTTTCACTTTGCTTCACTTAATAGCGAAACCAGCACGCAGAAGAATTTGGATTATTCTCTCTCCTTTTTTGAAAACTTCCTCTCCTGTATCGCCTCACTCAACAATATCATCAATATACTGCAGGTGCTTGGAAGCACTGCCCTGTTACAGTGCAGTTTGGATCAACCCATGGCAAATGGTTAGGCTGTATTTCCACCCCTGGGGCAAATGGTTCCAGGTATATTGAACACCCCTCCAGGTGAAAGCAAACTGTGGCCTTCATTCTGTGGCCAAAGGAATGGAGAAAAAGGCATCAGTGGTGGCATACCATTTGGCTGCTTTTGACTCAAGTTCATACTGGAGTTCTAACATGTCCGGCACAGCAGCACTCAGTGGGGGTGTGAGTGCATTCAGGACACAGTAGTCTACTGTCAGCCTCCATTCTCCACTGGCTT